TTTTTGATTTATTGTAGAGATGAGGTCTCGCTGCCGAGGCGGGTCTCGAACCCACGGGCTCAGGCAATCCGCTCACCTCAGCCTCCCAAAGGTGCGGGATTATAGGCTGAGCCACCGAACCCGGCATTGAACAATTTATCTTACAGTAGGTAGTACTTTAGAATGGAGCAAAGAACACAGACTTAGGACTCATATGTAAATAAATAAAGGTTATCACATAAATTGTGGGGACTTTAAAAAGCTATGCATCCTGTTGCCCCTATTCCCTCAGAGGACATGTGTCCACACCCCTGGAGGGGCTCCCTCGCTCCATCCTGGTCCTGGTGAGGGGTTCCTCCCAGCGGTTGGTCACATGGGGGAGGGGATTCATGTGACATGAATAGTATCCATGAGAAGCCCCAGGAATTGCTCAGGAAGAAACATGGAGGATCTGGGACAAAGACCCTGAACCTGTCAGGAAGGATCTGGAATATGGCACCACCAGAAGAGCCTGAAATGGAGGAGCCAGAGGTGAGAGAGAGAGGGAGGTGCCACAGACTCAAGGGTATAGGTAGGTTTCAGGGAGGAGCATTGACAATGTCAAATGCTGAAAGATGTTCTGGTGGGAAAGGGCTGAGATGTTCCCAGAGACATCCCCATAGGGACTTCAGAAAGAGCGGTGTCAGTGGCATTGTGGGGCCCGCCGAGGAGTGGCTAAAAGCAAGGGCTCGGCACTTACAAGCTGTGAGACCCTGAGCAGGTGGCTTAACCTCTCTGAGCCTCCATTTCCTCCTCTGCAGAAGGGTGATAAACTTGCTTTCCTCCTGGAGCTAATGAGAGACTGCTCTGCAGGAGGCTGGTGTTTTCCAGCTCTTCTCCCTCCCTCTCCCCAGTATACTCTCCAGCCAAACAGAAGACACCAAAGAGGAAGGAAGCAGGGAGAGATGGAGTCTACATGTTGACACAGGCAAAGCTCCCCATCTTTGTTTTCCTAACACACACACACACACACAGCCTTTAGAGAGACACAGCCATGGACACACATGTAGACATACACAACCCACACAAGACATTTACATGGCTGCGACTCACGCAGACGCACAAAGACACACCACCGGGCCGCTCCCCTTGAGAAAAGCATCCAGCCTCACCACGGGCCTTTTCTAGCCTCCCCACCCCCAGAGCTGGCTACATCTCCTCAGGGCAGGGTGACCATCCCTTAGAGCTGAGCCTGAACTCCGTCCAATAGTCCCAGGGCCTGCCCGCTCCTCCTTGGACTCACCTCGGAGTTCTCCACCACCTTCTCCAGGTACTTGTTAAAGATGGAGTAGTCCTGCAGCTTGATGCTCAGCTGCTGGTGTTCTAGCCGCAGGGCCGCCATCTCCTGCTTGGCCTTGGCCAGCTCCCGCATGCGCTGTCTCTTGAGTTCGCGCTCCTTGTTGGCTTTCTTCATGGCACGGATGCGTTTCTGATCATTCTCCTGAGCCAGGGGAGGCAGTGCTGGTCAGGCAACTTCGCCTGCCCTCCCAGGCCCAGGCCTGCCTTGGGCTGGTGGGGCTCTCAGTTCCCCTCTGTCTGCTAAGCTCAGACTACCCTAAGGACTGGCAGGGATTGCTTGGCTACTCATGTGGGTGAAGTAAGGTGAAGGGAATGGGTCTCTAGGGTCATCTGAAGCTGGTTTAGAGAATTTCTGTGGACTGAAATGGGGCACAGGAGTCGATGAGGACAGTGGTTTATTTCAGTCATGAGGTGGCCTTAGGGGAGCCAATGGGAAATGATTCTGATTTTGTGGGACTTTGGCCCTAAACTTCCAAAAGTGGACTGAGGAAAACCTAGGAGAGAAAAAAAAAGGGTCAGGGAAGATCCATATTGCATCAGGCTCTGTCTGGAGAGAACTCAACCCCAGAGAAGGCTGAGAAAGTCCAGAAGTGGGTGCAGGAACCCAAAGTTTGTGCTGGTTCTGTTCTTAGTAGTGACTGCTTGCCATGGGGCAGAGTTGGGAAGCCCACGTTTTATCCTGATTTGGTACTCTGTGCCTCAATTTCCCCAACTGTAGAAATGTGAGGCAGTAGCCCCTCTCTTTCTTTCAAGAGCTGGGGCAACAGTGCTCAAGCATAGAAATATGAAATAAAAGATACATCTGGTGTAGAGGGCCCATGGGGTAAGGCCATTCCAGACAGCATGTTCTAGAAGCTCTGACTGGCATCTGGCTGGGGCTAGTGGAGATGATGTAGGCAATGAGATGCCCAAGAAAGACAGAATAGGTGAGGCTTAGCTACTGCAATTGGTCCAACCTTGCCTTCCTCCTTCTGCAAAGCCTGCCCCCAGGGTCGGGAGAAACCCACTTCTCACACTGCACAGTGTGGGAGGTCCTTTCTCCCTTCAGAGGCTCCAGTGATTGCACATGGAGGGCGTGTATGGTGGGGGCACTTGGAGGACACGGAAGAAAGCACCTGGTGGGTTTGTATTCTGCCCTGTAAGCCCAGAAGAGAACCGGGGGTCTTAGACTGGTGGCTTTCAAATCCACCTGTGCACCAGAACCGTCTGGATAGCTTAAAAGAAAATGCCTGGGCCCAAACTCATACTTGCTAAAAAAGCAACAAGGGAGGTGAAAATCCGGGGGGGTCTGTATTTGCAACAAATTATCTGGGATTCCGAAGCTGCTGACCCCCTGATAATGGGGACTACCCCTCAACCCCAAATCTCCTGTCACCCCAACCACTCCACAAGCAGTTCTCTGGCTGTTAAGAAGAGCTGGACCTCTGGAGAATGTGTCCAGTCCATTGACCTCCCTTCCTACATGGTTTATAGTGGCATGGGAGATACTTAAGAGCGGGTGCCTCTGAAGCAGATGGTAATCATAACCTCCTAAAGATGAGCCAGGCCTTCCAGGGCTCCAGAAGTGCTGGTGGAGCAGGTCTGGATAATCTGGATTTTAAAGATTAAATCACCAGGCACGGTGGCTCATGTCTATAATCCCAGCACTTTGGGAGGTGGAGGTGAGAGAATTGCTTGAGCCTATGGGTTCGAGAGCAGCCTGGGCAACTTGGCCAGACCCCCATCTCTACAGTAAATTAAAAAAAAAAAAATAGCTGAGTGTGGTGGCACATGCCTTTGGTTCCAGCTACTTGGAAGGCTGAGGCGGAAGGATCGTCTGAGTCCAGCAAGTCGAGGCTGCAGTGGTCATGAGTGTGCCACTGCACTCCAGCCTGGGCGACAGAGTGAGAGACTAACTCAAAAAATAAAATAAATAAATAAAAATGAAATCACTCCTCTAAGCCTTGACTAGAAGAACTGTCTTCAAATGGACTCTGACGTCTGGCCCTTCAACTGTCTCTTGACCTTCGGTGCAAGGACAAGGATAGAGGGGTGAGATGGGTGGGGGGTACTAAAACCCTGCCTCATTCATCCCTGTATCCCAGAGTGATTAGCCTTGACTGTGGTACATCCATCCATCCATCCATTCATTCACGGGATAAACTGTATGTCCCAGGTACTGGAAAGGAAACAGGAAACAGCCATCTAGAGGGGGCAGAGACTAACAGGTAAGTGGGAAATTACAAACTGAGTGACAAGTGGGGAACAAAGGATGCCTCGGGAAGTACCGGGCATTGTGGGAGTGTTAAAAATACTTTTGTGGCGCAAGTCTGTAATCCTGGCATTTTGGGAGGTCAAGGGGAGAGGACTGCCTGAGTCCAGGGATTCGAGACCAGCCTGGGCAACCTGGTGAGACCTCATCTCAACAAAAAATCAAAAAGTTAGCCGGGCATGGTAGGATACTCCTGTAGTTCCGGTTACTCAGGATCGCCAGAGCCCAGCAGGTCGAGGCTACGGTGGCCGTGAGCATGCCACTGCACTCCAGTCAGGGCAACAGAGTGAGACTCCAACTCAAAGAAAAAAAATGCTTTTAACTTAGGATGAGGAGTCAGCAGAAGTGAGAAGGGGAAGGAAGAGGAAGAACAATTTGCCCACTGCAGAGTGTGGATCCCTGACCCGTGCAGCAGCCCACACCCCTTCAAACCTGGATGAACTGCTCAAACTTCTGGATGTGGGCCTTCAGTTGGGCTTCCTTGATGCCCAGTTCCTCCCAGCGCAGGTTCAGGGTTTCCATTTTGCGCTGAAATGTCTTTTGGGTAGAGGTGGGGGAGCAGAGAGGTCAGGCAGGAGTACTGAAGAAGACCTCAGCATCCCTCACCCCAGAGGCTTGATCCCCAGGCCCAGGAGGATCCCTAGGAGGCCTCCCACTTTCCACCCCATCCCTGGCTCAGAGCAGAGCATCCCAGGACACTGGCACCCCAAGGTTAAGATCCTTTCTGTTCTACTCAGAGGAAGGAGACTAGAACACCATCCAGGACTCCTGGCTCTAGCCACCTCCACCCACAAAATGGAGGGCTGTCCAGAGGCTCTCCTGGAGCCCCAGTCAACCCTCTCTCTTTTGGCACCCTTGCGTCTCATCCCCAAGGCTCCTACCTCCTTCTTTTGCTCCATAGCGTGATGCATGATCTTGGCTTCCTTTTTCTTCTCCAGTAGCCGGATGGATGGCGACTCGGACTGCTCCTCAACATTGGGGAACTTCCTGCCAAGACACGGACAGGAGAGGTCTGTGAGTTCTGAGACCCAGGCAGGCTGGGGCTGAGAGTAACCCATGGAGACAGATACCCAGGCAGAGGGGAAAGATCCCCTCCCCCACCTGAGGGGAAGGAGAAGGTGAGAGGGCCATGTTGTCAGATGGGGAGTGAGCTGTGGCAGAGTGCCAAAGGATGGGGAATGGGGTACTGGGTGTGTCAGTGCCGGGGTGATGGGGGCAGGGTAGGATTTAGAGCACTTGGGTTATAGGACAGGAGAGGACAGGTTGGAAGGTGCGACATGGGCTGGGTGTGGGTGGTTCCAGGCAGAGAGGGGATGAGGCAGGCCAGGCCCTGAACACTCACTGTAACAGATGCAACAGCCGCTCCCCATACTGTAGCCGGAAGTACTCGGCCAGGTCTTCCTCATCCATGATGCCCAGACTCATGTTGGCAGTGACCTAATGGTCCAGGCAGCTGCTCTTCACAGAGAAACAGCGGGTAGCAGAGACACAGGTCGCTCAGGGTGATGGCTAGGGTCTTGCTTCTCCTTTCCTCCTGTTTTCAGGGTCCCAAAGAGGGCGGGTTTTGAGAAGAAAGCCCGAGGCAGAGGATCAGCAGTTCAGGATAATGAGTCAGGGTGGTGGTGAGAGATACCGTTACCTAGCAATGGGTTGCCTGGTTCTGTGGATCATACATGGAACCCAGGCTTTGCCCTCTGACCCCTGTACCGGTCTGCTCTCTGCTCCTGCCCTTACCCCTCAGGAACTATGGGAAGAAGTTAGGCCTGATTAGATGCTTGTTGTCATGGAGCCCAGGACCGGGAGGCAGCTTCCTGTGCAGAGCTAAGGAGGGGCAGCGGGTAGGGGAGTAGCCTTGAGCGGGAGCCTGGCTCCTGGGGCCTCCCATCCGGATTCAGGAGGGAGAGATGGCCAAGAGGAAAAGGAGAGAAGGAAGGAGGTGCTATCCCGTAGCGGCGGTGGGTCCTGTGGGAAGATGGGTGGAGGCCTGAGGTTGGGAACCACGTGGTGGGCCAGGGCGTGGGGTATGTCTGGGCAAGGCCCCCCAGAGGGTCAATGTCAGTTTTTGAGGTTCACGGAAAATTAAAATAGAAAGAAATGCCTAAAAGAAATGTCCCATATCCAAAATGTTTACTTGATGATGGCTGCCTTCCTTGATCCCGTCCAGGCACATTCGTAAACCCACTTGGCCTGAGGCCCAACGTCTAAAGTTGGGACCGTGGTTGGGAGACGGAGGCGGTGGGGTCTCCCGTGCTGCAGGCTAGCGGGGCGGTGACCTTGAGCTTACTCGGCCGGGTGCAGGCGCCCTCCGCCCTTCCTGCCTCCACTCTCACGCCCACCACGCTGCCTCGCTCCCCTCTCTGTGGGCAAAGGGAAGCAGGGGCGGGGCGGGGAGGGGGTCTCGAGCGGGGGCGCTGTCCCGAGCGCCGCAAGCCCACCCACGCCACATTGCCTGTCGTCTGGCACCCCCTGCTGGCCGCGTGTCCCCTCCCTGTAAATCTCAGCCGGGCGGGAGCGGACGTGGTGGGGGCGTCACTTATCCAGGTCTCCCACCCACTCGCCCCAGCCTCCCCTCCAGAGCGGACCGTGACACACACCTGCCCCTTCCAGCCAGCCCACGGGCTCAGCAGCGGCAACAGGACGGTCCCCACCCCACCCAGAACACCCGCGCCCGATCTCTCACTGTCCCCACCCCACCCTAAGTCCCAAGACCAGAGATGGGTTTTCCACGGGAGCGCCCCAGACAAACGGACCCAACAGGACAACAGTAAGAACCCCAGAGGGTTTCTCAAAGAGTAGCCGTCTCTTCTTGTTCATCCTGAGAGCATGGTACAGGCAGTCTGGAATTTCCTTCTCTTTCCTTTGAGGTTGTAGCTCAGGCTGGGAGGGTGTGTAATGCCAGTCCACGAGGAGAAAGCTGTTAGTGGAGTCATCTGACCTCCCTGGTATATAAGACATCCTTGATTGTCTTGTGGAATCAGGCGGTCCAGGGCCAGGTTGGTCCCTCCAGGTAGCTGCTAAGACATCTGCTTCTCCTGCCTATGTATCCCCTCATGTGTGGAAGCTGCTTCATTTGGTTTCACTGCCCTCCTAGGGGCCAGGAGCAAGATATAGGGCTGTCTCAGATTCACAGAAGTGTGTGCTCTCCCCTGCTCCCCGCCTCTTCCCTCTCTGGGTAAGCCCTGCTTCCTTTTTACCCCCCCCCCCATTCCACCCACCCCCTGCCTTTTTCTATCTTGATATTTGCCTCTGAGGCAAAACCTCCTAATGGATTTAGGTTAATCGTCTAATGGATTTAGGTTGTTGGAAATCAATAGGCATAGTTTGTTTTCTGTCTTATCCTATCCTACCTCTGGGATAGGTTATCTGCTTAAATTGGGGTGGGGAGAATTACGTTATCTGCTTAAGATAGGGGTGGGGGAGAATATTAGGAAAAAAAGGTATAGGTTAATATCTCAAAAAAATTATCCTGCTACTCAGAAGGTTGAGGGAGAAGAATCGCCTGAGTCAGGGAGGTCAAGGATGTAGTGAACCCTCCCTCTTCCCTCCCCCCCCACAAGGGGAGACCCCAAAAAACTCCAAAATTATTTTTTGGAGGGTAGGTCCTTTGTAGTACAGGCTTCCTCCACTAGGTGGGTGTTCCAAGAAACCAACTGCATCAATGGACCAGCTATTAACAGCTTTGTTGTGAGAGGCTGCATTTGGCTTTCAGTGAGGTTTTTTTTTTGAAAATACTTTTGATGCGTTTTCTCATTTCATGATGGGTGCTTTACACAACCAACCTGCCCACACCACGCTGAGAGTTCAGCAGTTTTTGACCAAAAATGATGTGACCCCCATGCTCCACCCTCCCTATTCACCCGGTCTCACCCCAATTTTTGTTTGTTTGTTTCCCTGGATTAAAAAAAGTCCTCAAAGGGAAACATTTTTGTCCATGTGGGAGAGGTGAAACAAAAAACAGAAGCACTAAATTAACATCAGAATTGATGAGTTCAAAAACTGTTGTTTTGAGCGATAGAAAAAGCATCTAGATAGGTGGACTGCATCAAACGGTGAGTACTTTGAAGGTGACTGAAGTTTAGACATCTAAGACTAAATACACAATTCTTTTAATACACAATATTTTTATAAATAAATTCCTGGTGTTTTGGGTATATATATATATATATATATATATATATATATATATGATCCTGGCATACAGACCAGTATAGTGCTAGGTACACAATAGAGGCAAAGGCACATTTGCAGAACATTGAGCATTGGGTGTGAGGAAACTGGTCTTTGTCTATATTCTATTCCCTATCAGTGGAATCATGCAAATGAATTATGTTAAATGTGTTTCAAAATTGGTGACATGGAAAACTAGTATTAGTCAAGCATATTGATGTTAATTACTGTAACAGAAAACCTCAAGCCACAAGGGCATAATGAGATCCAGTGTGGATTTTCCTAGTGGGATACCTCTCCTGGGAGATCCTCTTTCAAGCAGTGACTGGGGCTCTAACCCCCTTTCACCTTGCAGCCCCACCATATTTGCCCATGACCTCTAAGGTCACCATGTAAGGAGAAGGAGAAAAAACACAAAAAATTCTTTTCTGCTTTTAATGAACATATTCTCCTCTTCCACTTGTTGACCTTTGTTGGGAACTGGTCACATGGTTACTTACATTGCAAGGAGCTAGAAATGTAGTTTAGTTGTTTTCTTAGGAAGAGGAGACTATTCTGATGAGCATCAAACCAATCTATGCTCTACTTCTTTTGAGAATGAAAAGAATGTTTGGAACTAAGCTAAGAGCGGAGCTTATTAAAGAAACTAATTGTAGACAAAAAAAAAAAAAGGAAACAGGCTAATCATGATCTTAATAGAAACATTATCAAGTTTAATTGAGTGCAATATTAAAGGAATAATTTACCAAGACCATTAGTACAAAATAGTTTAATATTGGGAAATCTCTTAATGAAATTGATTCTATCATATGTCAATACAAAAGATTTATGATAATTGCGATAGATGCCAACATGATGTTCAAAAATTCAACATCTTCATGATTTTTTTAAAAACAAATTATTTGTATACAAAAGCACTTTATTAACATAAAAAAATCTGAACCTGACAAATACTATTAGCATTTATATTAAAGACATTTGTGTTAAAGTTAGAGACATGACAGGCTTTCTGCTGTCACTGCAATCATTTGACACTGTTTTGGATGCTCTAGCTATTGCAAAAAGACAAGAAAATTAAGTTTTTCCTTTTTAAAAAACGTAATGGAAGATGCTGTGATGATGTACTGTGAAAATCTGAAAGTGATTAATTAAAGAAAAATAATTTGAATTTAATGTAATACTATGCAATTTATAAGGAGGATGAGGTTGATTGATACACTTAGACACAGAGAGGTAGGTATGTATGAAAAATTGTTAGGTGACAAAAGCCAGGTGCAGAACTATAGGTACAGCATAATCTGGTCTGTGTGTGTGTGTGTGTGCGCGCGCGTGTGTGTATAAGGGGGACCGGGGGTTGTGTGTGTGTGTGTGTGTGTGTGTGTGTGTGTGTGTGTGTGTGTATAAGGGGGACCGGGGGTTAAGTACAGAGAAAGCTCTAGAAGGATTGACCATCCCTCTGGGAACAGGAATAGTGTGGGATCAGGGAAGTTGTTTTGTTTTGTTTTGTTTTTTTGAGTTGGAGTCTCACTCTGTCGCCCAGACTGGAGTGCAGTGGCCGCTTCCAGCCACCGCAGCCTCGGCCTGTTGGGCTCCGGCGATGCTTCCACCTCAGCCTTCCAAGTAGCCGGAATTACAGGCGCGCGCTACTACACCCGGCTGAATTTTTGATTTATGGTAGAGATGAGGTCTTGCTGCCCGGGTGGGTCTCGAACCCGCGGGCCCAGGCAATCCACTCACCTCAGCCTCCCAAAGGCGCAGGATTACAGGCTGAGCCACCGAGCCCGGCTAGGGAAGTTGTTTTGGATGGTTCTTTCACTTTTATACTGTTTTTTTGTTTAGATTTTCCTGTACTATTTTGTTGTTGTTGTTGTTGTTGCTTTGAGTTGGAGTCTCACTCTGTCGCCCAGACTGGAGTGCAGTGGCCGCTCCCGACCACCGCAACTTCGACCTGCTGGGCTCTGGTGATCCTTCCGCCTCAGCCTTCCAAGTAGCCGGAATTACAGGCATGCACTACCATGCCCGGCTGATTTTGTGATTTCTTGTAGAGATGAAGTCTCGCTGCCCAGGCGGGTCTCGAACCCGCGGGCTCAGGCAATCCATTCGCCTCAGCCTCCCAAAGGTGCGGGATTACAGGCTGAGCCACCGAGCCCGGCACTATTTGTTTTTTTAACAATAACTATATTACCTTTGTAGGTTAGAAAAAATAATAGAAAAAGATATCCATTCCTATTAGCAGCAACAAAAGAAAAGTCTTAGAAACAAATTTAATGAGAAATATGCAGGACCTTTAAAAAGGAAACTTAAAAATTTTAATTGAGGGGCATAAAAGAACAGAGACAAAAATTCTGAATGATGATTCAGTATTGTAAATATGCAAATACCATTCAAATGAATTAGAAATTTAATGTGTCTGCAATCCAAATTCCGGAGAGATTATTTTCCCCTCTCAAAAGTTGATAAAGCTATGTAAAATTCATCT